TACAGAATCCCCTAGCATTGCTGGTCCATTATAATTCTAAATTAAATCTTGAGACTACTGGCTCTTTTCTAACTCACTGACATAGCTGTCATTTCTTACTGGACTCATGGGCCAGCTTTCTTTTCTTTCGGTCTTTTGGTCTTAGCACAGGCTGGCCTGAACTCACTCTGTAGACCAGGCTGGCCTCAAACTCAGAGATCCACCTGCCTTTGCCTCTGAGTGCTGGGATTAAAGGTGTGTGCTGCTACTTCCTGGCTCTGAGCCAGTTTCCCAACTGGGCTCCTGATTCTTCTTTTTCTTTCCTTGAAATTCTCTTCACAGCGGTAAAGACTCCTTCAGAATGGACCTGCCCCTCATCAGTACTGAGATCTGTTCACAGTCCTTCTCCATTCCTTCCTAACAAGGCTCTGCACGATTGCTGACTCCAAAGTCACCATGCCTCACACTGCTCCAGCCTCACCAGTTTGTTTGTTTGTTTTCCTTCTTCCTTTTCTGCCTCATGATTGTTACCTTTTGACTCCCCCAGTCTCACTGGCTCCTTCAAATCAATTTTTTTTTCTCTCCAAAAGATAGTTTTGTTTTTGTTCTTTTCAGGCAGTGTTTTTCTGTGTAACAGAGCCTTGGCTGTCCTGGACAGCTTTGTAGATCAGGCTGGCCTTGAACTCACAGAGGCCTGCCTGTCTCTGTCTTCCGGTATTGAGGTTAAAGGTGTGGGCTATCACACTCAAATACAGTTTTTGAGACAGACTTTTCCTCTCCCATAGTTCATATCACTTCTTATGCGTCGATAATGGCTGGGGTTAGTGAGTTAATTTATAAATTTCTCCTCCAAGCAGCCTATAAACCCTATGGAGTCTGGGACCTAGAACAGCTGGTGACACAAAGACATTCAACAGCATATCCAGTTCTTAGACCCACCAGACTCTGATGCTGCCTTGAATCCATTCTGGTCTCACCCAGTATCTCTGCAACAGCCCAGCATGGTAGAACATACCTATAACCCCAGTTCTTAGGGACTCAAGTTCATCCTTGCTACCTAGTGAATTTCTAGGCCAGCTTGATCTACATGAGATGCCAAACAAAGAAAAAACAGACTGACCCCAAAACACTTGAAAAAAAAAAAAAAAAGTCTTAGTAACAGTATGGTTAAGGTGAAACGTGGAGTTAGAACTATGTATAGTCTAACATATAGAAATATGTATAAGTCCTTTTAAAAGACACAGCTTGAATGCTGGTGCAGAACACCTTTAACTCCAGCACTTGAGAGGCAGGGGCAGGTGCTTCTCTGAGTTCCAGGCCAGTGTGGTCTATGGAGAGAGTTCCAGGATGACCAGGAAAACACAGAGAAACCCTGTCAAACCAAACCAAACCAATTCAAACAACAACAGCAACAATGACTCTAAAAAACCCAACCAACCAACCAACCAACCAACCATCCAAAAAAGGACCAATTGGGGCTGGTGTGGTGGTAGAGGCCAGGCCTCTAATCCCAACACTCAGAAGGCAGGGGCAGGCAGGACTCTGTAAGTTCAAGGCGATGTAGTATGACTCTCTCAAAAAACAAAACAAAACAAAAACTCCCCTACTTATTTCTAGCTTCATACTATGCAAATTGCTTACCATCCCACAACCCCAGTCTTCATTTAGTTACCTATAAAATGGGTGTAATATAACGCTGTGGAAGGAATTAAATGATAAGTCATATCAAAAGCAGAACAGACTACTTACTCAGCTTATAGTACGCCCAGCTGCTGCTTCTCTTCTGCCTGAGTTTCTAAAAAAAGTTTAAGTTTATGTATGTTCTGTACTCTATGACAGGCACTATTTTAAATGTTGTATGTGATTAGCTAGTTTAACCCATGTAAAAACTCACGTTAGCAGCACATATATTAAAATGGGAAGAATCCAATGAGAGCAGGAACCCTGTGCAAGGGGTGACACATGAACTTGCAAATCATCCCATAAACAAGCAAACAAAAAGAAACGGACAACAGGAGGCCGGGAGTGTAGCTCGGTAGTAAAGGTCTGTCTAGTGTGCATGAGAGGGGAGCATGCTGGGAAGGAAAGGTTCAGGAGGAGTGGGAGGGGATGAGAGAGGATAGCTGGGGTGAAAATGACCAAATGACATTATAGGTTTGTATACAGATGTTTACTCTGCATGTATGTCTGTGCCTCAACTGCATGGCTGTTATGTAAGAAGACCAGAAGAAGGTGTGAGATCCTGTGGGACCAGAGTTATAGGTAAACGGCCTATAACTGTTGGAATCTGAACTAAGTTCCTCTGGAAAAGCAGCCAGTGCTTTTAACCACTGATCCATCTCCTCAGTCCCTAAATGTGTCAAAAGAATTTAAAGGAAAAACGTTATCTTAGGGCTGGGGGGTCAGCTGGTAAAATGCCTGCATGAGGACCTGAGTGCAGATCCCTAGCACCATGTAAAAGCCGCACTATGATGGTGCATGTCTGTAACCCTAGCTTTGGGGAGAGGGGAGAGACAGGCAGACTCAGAGCACGCCTGCCAAGCTGCTTTGTTGGAGTGCTGCATGACCTTGAGAAAGACGGTATATTATGATACAGACAGGTCTTCCACGCCTGTCTTGGATTGGCTTTTTTTTTTGCATAATTATATTTTGTTTTTGCTTTTCTAATGAGAGATAAACTGTCTACTTGCCTCTGCCTCCCTGACTGCTTGGATTAAAGGCATGAGCCACTTAGAGACACTTCTTATTTAAGATTAGAGAGACACTTCTTATTTAAGTCATTGTTGACTTAGGTTTCTTTGAATGCAATCAAATCTAGTCCAACCAATTAGTGAGTTCTGGCCTCAGGGAAGATAGGTCCTATCTCAAAAAATAAGGCAGAGATCAGTAGAGGATGACCCTGCCCTTGCCCTACACACACACACACACAAGTAATATTTCCTCATTTGAAATTTAATTCAAGCTACCCCATGTCAGAACCATTTAAGTACACCTCTGTTAATTCCTACTAGTCTCTATCAATCTTTATTTACGCAGGTATTTATATGTACACCACTGCATGCCTGTCTGGAGGCTAGAAGAGGGTATCAGGTCACCTGGAACTGGAGTACAGTTGTAAGCCACTGTACTCTAACCCCCTCTGGAAGAGGATCCAGTTAGTACTTCTAACCACTGAGCTATCTTTCCAGCCCCAGAAATATGTCTCATGAATGCTTCTGTAGCCACAAACAATAAGCTAAAGTTTATTGTTTGGAGAGTCACACTGAGAACACACATATCAGTTTCACAGCTTCCTACTGATGCACCATTACAGATATTCACGGAAATCCTTCAGAAAATCTGCACTGCCTGCTCCTCATTTCCCAGTGCCGTTACTTAGGTTTCTCTTTGGAACTTACATTCCTGTTTCTAGTCAGAGACTCCCGAAGACACATATTTTCATGAAACAGTTTCTAGGCGAGTGGGCAGACACTTTTGACTCTCAGTCCCCTTTTCCTGAGCTGGCATGTGAGCCAGTGTTTACATTGGTAGGTATTTTAAAGTATACATGTGAGTACATGCTTTGTGACAAAGGTAAATAAACAGCTCAAAGAAAAAGCTCCTATCTTGGAAGTCCTGGTTATGAGGCAGGAAACTATTTCACAAAACCGGAAGTAGTTATAGCTTTTTCACCAAACAATACTTGAACATCCCCACCCTCACGGAGGGAATGTGATGACTGCAGAGCAGTTAGGAAAGAGCACGTGCTCCGGGCAAGCATTAGCACCTGCTTCGTTGTTGTCTTTTGCCAAGCCTGACCACCAGCTGCTGAAGCTGGGGAGAAGCTAAGGTGTGAACAGGAGACACCAACCCACACGGAAATCAGTTTGTTTCCCAGCTGTTGGGAAAAAGAAAGCTCTAAGAATTATGGGGTTATTTTCAAGTGGTGAAGAAGCAAAGGAGAAACAATGTAGCATTCATGAAAACAGGAAAACCTCTGTTGCCCACTCTATGTTCATTTCTTCCTCTCCCCTACTAAAACATCTAGACTGCGCAGTGATGTCCACACCACGATGGTGTTTCCAGGGTTCTGAGAGCCAGCTAGAGTGACGCGACTGTCAGTGTGAGTGTGCTTTCCAGGGAAGATGCTGGGAAATCAGCCTTGCTCATTTTGTCCATGCCTCCTCCTCTTCATGCTGCCAGGAATTTCAAAGGGCTGGCAGCTGGCCAAGTAGCTATGTTGGAACACAAGGTGACCTTGAGAGATAGGCTATGTTGTGGTACAGACAGGGACCTCTGTGTCAGTCTTTAACAGGCTTTTTTTTTTGGGGGGGGGGTGCATACTGTTTTATGAGCGAGTCACATTTCTGATTTAAGCCATTGTTGATTTAGGTTTCTGTTAAATGTAATCAAACCCGGTCCTAACTCTGGTACCATGATGGTTCTTGCCACTTTTCAAAATATGGTGGTTTCTTTTACCTACTTCTAGCCTTCTAACACTACTGTAGGAAAGCCAAGGCACTTGTGACGCTAGAAGAGGAGGCCTGAGAGGACACAACGCAAGGCTTTCCCATGCCATACACCTCCCTCCAGAAGAGCGAGTTCTTGAAGCCAAGGCCGCCTCATCCTCAAGATTTCAAAAGCATGGTAGAGAGTCACAAATCTCCTTTAAAAATATTTTGATTGGTAAGTGTGGTTATTTTTAAAAAGCAGAAACTTAAGCACAACATTTCTTCTGTCAAAAGAGCAACTAACAAGGGACTTTAGAGTCACTGACTTAAAAACATCCTTCAAGCTGCCTCCAGAATTCTACTGCCTCATAAAGCAAATTAGAACTCACTGTATTGTTGTAAGGAACATCGAAAGAGCTGCGCTGTCAAACAGGTAAAAGACACATTTTGAAGAAGCAATTAGTAAAATGAAAGTGTGACTGCTCTAAAAGCCTAACAGACTTGATTAATGGAGAGCTGACGAAGTCTTTCAGAGGGAAAAGCAGAAGCAGGGCTTTCTTGTTACAATCCAAGTAAAACTGGTCACATGAATTTAACGCAGAAAAGTTTTAATGAGACAAATGTCAAGCAAGCACATCAACTTCTTAAAGAAAATCTAAAAGTTTAATTACAAAACACTTGTACAGAAACCTGGCAATTTAACAGTTCCAAACACATGTACACAGTATTTCTTTTTCTAAAACTTGTCAGAAATAAAACCCCTCATCTCCCTTCCCCCAGCTGCTGCTGTGTTTTAATAAAAAGCAGGAAGGAAATGTGTAACACTGAATAGGTAACTGCCTGTTTCTTGAGGAGAGCATGTAGGTGCAGAGTCAACTATGAACCTACCCGGAAATAAATCCTTGTGTCAGGCTGCACCCTGACCACCTCCTCTTTGTTGAGCATGGAGGTGAGAAGAGGTGCCACAGACCAGCTCTACACAACCTGAATCCCAGCCACTGGAAGGCAGGTGTCAAGAGACTGGGGAGCTATTGCTGTGACAAGGATTCCATTCTGTAGGTTCTCTTCTGGCTACGCCAATGTCCCTAGACAAGATGAGGTATCACATCTAGAAAGAGGGGAATGATGATCTTTGGACCAAGTCATAGTCATAAAATCAGTGCTATGGAAGCGGCACAGAACTGCATACAAAGAGAGACAGCAATATGAGGAGGAAGGAAGAAAGGACAGGAAGCATCTGGCAGAAGGCAGACATAATCTTCCAGAACCAGCTTGGGTGTCCTTCTGCCACAGACAGCAAGTTCTAGCATTGGCTTAGGAGGCAAGCGATCTAAGCGGCAAAAGCAGCAGATGAGGGCAGGGAGCCAGGACAGCACAATGGCCGCAGAGCTCACTGGCTGTGCAGCAGTGAGGAAGGCGTCTTTTCCTAACTGTGTGGTGTGCAGGCTTCAGTGCATAAAGTGTGATGTGTTCACATAATTCTCCATTGTTACTACTGCTGTTTCCTTTGGACTATCCAAAAAAGCAAACAGGAGAAGAGAACACAGTGCTGAGGAGACAGGATGGTGCAGCCACATAATAGGGGCTCTGGATGTGCCCTGGTTTATGGGCATATTGTCACGGACCACACTATATCCTCCTGTCTTTGGTGGCCTACTGCCTAGATAATGGGCTCAGCATGCTCTGCTTTGGTTCCAAAGATCTCAGCTGCCACTTTTATCCTTGTGCTCTAGAGCATAAAAGAAAAATTAAAAATAAAAATAAAAAACCAAACCAAACCCAAAACCAAACCCAAACCAACCCTGAGGAGAGAAACAGAACCTGTTTTTTGTGGTTAAACAAAAATCCTTAAGGAGGGAGGGAAGGAAGCCTGTCTTTTCCACATAGGTTCCATAGATTCGGCAGTTAGTGGCTACAGAGGAAGACAAAACACAAGCAGATTCCACTGTGCCCTTTTATCAGCTCAAGAGCTTTCTTCCAAAGAAGCTCACATGATCTTAATGCTCCAATCTGTGCACTGAAGACAGAGTTGCTCAGTTTCCACTCAGTCAAATGTTGGGCTGTTTTCCAACACCAAATGTGTATTACTTTCCCTTCCTCCCTCTTCACCAGTGACCTTTTCCTTGGCAAAGGTGCTCCACAAGACACTGCCAACAGATGGGGACTGAAGAGCCTTGCTGTGGCTGGGACTCTGTGTCTGAGCAGGAGCAATGCTCAGAGAACAGCAGGCAGGACCAGGAAGGAAGGAGGGAGCATTGTCCTTCAGGGTAGCAATCACAGAGCCTGCTGAGGGCTGGCTCCCACTGAGCACCATGGAGGGCATGAAATACTGCCTTACTCCACAGGGCACTGTCAACAAGGACGCTCTCTTCTTTGGAGTCACAGCAGGGCAGTGATGGGAGAAGATTGGGCTCATCCAATGAGAATTCTCCTTCAGAGCCCCGCTGAGCAACAAAGCCCAGAGGTCAGAAAATGGAGCTATGTAACTTGGTGGGAGTGAAGGAAAGCAGTCCCCACCAGAGGCATTTAGAAAAGGGACGTCTAGGTAAGAAAACTGGAGTGGAATGTCACAATGAGAACCTTCCTTTCTGCTGTGGAGGAGATGTCAGTCTCAGGGTCACCACTGTCGGAAGAATGTATGCGCGTCTACTTGAGCAGAAATGGAAATGAGAGGACCCTAAGAAGACGAGGACAGTGAGGGGCTGTACACTCTCAGAGCTTCTCACATGGCATTTCTGCGGAGCTCACACATCCGCCTTTGCTGCTCCTTCACACAGCTTGCTGGGGTGAAGGCATTTCACTTACTGACAGTCTTGCACAGGGAGAGATGTGCAGTCCTCTGCCCCGTCTCAGTTCATATGTTCATGGATGACTTCTCATTCTGCACAAGCGAACATGGTCCATTTTGGAGCACTAAAATCTGTAGAATAAAGAGAGAGAGAGAGAGAAACAGAGAGAAAGAGAGAGAGATAACACCAAAAAGGTAACTGCCAATCAAAAGGAATTAGAGATTATGGATTTTAAAATGCTTTGTTTGATTTTTGAGAAAATATGAAAAAAATATGAAATAACAAACTCATAAAGCTTCAGGCAGCATCAGTGAGACATTTCAACATTTCAATGAGGAATACAGCACTGCTTCAGCAGCTGCTCATCAAAAAGCCATGATCAGACAAATCTAATGAGGGAAATTAGTGACTCACTTCAGTCCACAGGATGTATGGCCAATCAAAACCAGTTTTCCGTAACACAAAGCTCAAGATATCTGCCTGTACAGGAATGTGTTCTTATATGATAGCAATAGTTTCTTACTGATTAAGAATACAGTTATCAGACCAGCAAGATGGCTCAGTGGCTGGGGAAGTTGGCTGCCAAGCAGAGTGACCTGAGTTCTATCTCTGGGACCCACAGAGTGGAAGAAGAGAACCAACTCCTACAAGTTGTTTTCTGATCTCTATATCTACACTGTGGCATGTAAAAGTCCCCATGCATAGACAAAGACAGACTGACAGACAGAAAGACAAACAGATACAGTAAATAAACGTAATGAAAATAAATCACACAGAAAGAATAATTTTCACTCTTCAAACAGCCAAATCATGTGGTTCGATAGAAACTGGGCAATACAGAGACTATGGACAGTCATTAAAGTGATCTCCTCTCAACATAACACTCTCCTAGCTCCATTTGTGTCTCTAGGTGCTAGCTAGCCACAAAAGTGACAGCTAGGATACCTCTTCCATTCTGTTTCATAAAAATATTTTAAAAGTGGCTGGCCCAAAGTCACCAACATCATAATCATAGCATTTACCTTAACGCTCTGTTCTAAGTTTGAGCACCTCAGCCCTGCTTCACCCTGGTCACATTATGCTTCAGAAGCCCTTGACTGCCAGTTTAGACATGTTTAGCCCTGGTTCCTGACATCATCTACTCAGGTATCTTCAGATGCTGTATCTCGCCTCTTTGGGATTCAGCTTCTGCATAGACAAAATGCTGGTTTTCTGAGCTGGAGAAGAGGCCAATGGGTGAAGCGCTTCCGTGCAAGCATGAGGACCCTCGTAAGATGGGTGGGGGGTACACACTTAAAATGCCAGTGCAGGTGAGCCAGAGACAAGGAGACCTCTGGTGCTCACTGGCCTGCTGGTGTGCTCCAAATTCCCTGAGGTGACAGATGAGGATTCCAGACACCGCTCTCTTGGCTCTCACATGTGCACGCTTGAAAGAGTGCACTTACACTACAGATACATATAAGACACGCACACACAATGCTGGATTTCTAAAGGCCTTTTCCAGCTCCCATATGCTCTAAGACTTGTAAACTTGTGGCCTACTAGCTTCACTTTATTCACTGACTCCTGACAATGGCACGAAGCCTTTGCCAAGCTGGTGTCAGAGTAATTAATGGCACCATGAGTGCTGGGGGCATCAGGCCTAGCTGTCTGCCTATCCATATGTGTATAATGAGACCAAGCTAGTATTAATCACAGTCTTCCTAATTGTTTTCCTTGACAGCCGGGGGTGGGGGAGCTTGGTTACGTTTGCATGGGAAATTGTAACAATCTGTAGTAATAGAGCAGTTCACAGTTTCAGACATTTTCTTCAAGGACAAAATACTTTTGGTTAAAATCAAGGAGACTGATAATGGCCTAGGTTTTTCAAAGACGCCTCAGAGAGCAGCCACTACAGTTCACAGCTGTATGGCAGGCAGCTTTAGGAGGGTCTCACTGGCATATGCTCAAAGTGAAAAGCCACTTTTGGCTCCATAAGTGAACCCATTGCCCTCCCCTTAGGTGAAAAGACTCCATGTTATCAACTACTGGTTTCTTTCACAATCTTCCATGCTGAGTCTCCCAGCTCGCTCTTTTTAAGCCTACAAGAGTGGTAATTGGAAACACTGTGTGAGAAGGAAGATGAACTCCTTAGAGTCCCAGGCCTAGATTTACAAGCTGTTCCCTTTGTAAGTGGCAGGAGTGATGCCACTTCTTTATTCTACAGGGAGTGCCGCCATCTCTTAGAAGTCCAGTCCATTCCATCTGGCTGCTTGATAGAAGGACCATAATCTTGTTCTCATCTAAGCAGGACCAAAACTAAAGACTAATTAATTGTCTTACATGGTCACCACCCAAAGGCTCAACCAAGAAGGATAAAAACTATGTTGCCTTTGTCTCTGCTGGTACATGTGGCCTCATTAGATAGAGAGATATGAGCCTAATGTGTTCTCACACGTCTTGCTCAAACTCTAACCCAAGCTAGAGTTGAGGTTATGCAGATGAGGGCACTCCTGTACCTGGAGGGCAGAGATTCAAATGCACATCGCTCCCAAGGAGCACTCTGCTACTCCCTCGTGTGTGTTTAATTTATTTTCATTTCATGTGCACTGGTGTTTTGCCTGTATGTATGTCTGTGTGAGGATGGCAGATCCCACGAACTGGAGTTACAGACAGTTGTGAGCTGCCACGTGGGGCTGGAAACTGGACCTGGGTCCTCTGGAAAAGAAGCCAGTGCTCTTAACCACTGAGCCATCTCTCCAGTCCATCACTTGTTTTTTAATACATGGCTATATCACTATGTGGTCCAACCTTAAGACTTCCATCCAGATTTTGTCTGTAGGAAAGAAACAATTTGATCAATAGACCAAAGGACTGCCTATTTTAGAGATGTCATATTCCAAGGGCACCATGCTTCTATGAATTACAGCGAACAAACCCGCTTTCATTTAAGAAATGTTGTCTGGCCAGGTATGGCACTACAAGACACCTTTAACTCCAGTGTTTGGGAAGCACAGGCACGAGGAAGACCCTGTCTTAAAAAGAAGTGACATTTGGCCATCAGTACCAAACAGTCTTCAGGGAGCTTCTCTTTCGAAAACCTACTTTCTGTCCATCTCTTCTGCAGCCTGCTGCTACTCGTTTGTTGACTTGCCATTTCATTCATTCGTTCATTCTTCATTCGTGTGTGTGTGCGTGTGTGTGTGTGTGTGCGTGTGTGTGCGTGTGTGTGCGTGTATGTGTGTGTGTGTGTTGGGGGATGGTATGTACATGTAAGTATAGGTAACTACAGAGGCCAGAAGAGGGCATCAAGTCTCTTGGAGCTGGAGTTATGGGCAGTTGCAAGCAGCTATGTGGGTGCTGGGAATTGAATTTGGGTCCTTTGGAAGAGCAGCAAGTGCTCTTAACTAATAGTGAGTCATCTTCCCATTCTCCCTTTAAAATTTTTTTTGTTTTTATTTTTTTGAGACAGGGTCTCTCTATGTAGTCCTGGACAGTCCTGGAATTCACTGTGTAGACCAGGCTGGCCTTGAACTCACAGAGATCCTCTTACCTCTGCTAGGATTAAAGGAGTAAACATGAGTCACCATGCTCAGCATCCTTTAAAGAAATTTTTTTTTCAAGACATGGTTTATCTGTGTAGCCTTGGCTGTCCTTGACTTGCTTTGTAGACCAGGCTGGCCTCGAACTCACAGAGATCTGCCTACCTCTGCCTTCCCAAGTTCTGGGATGACAGGCATGCACCACTGCACCTGGCTAAAAAATTTTTTTTAAAATTGGTATGTTAGCCTTGATGCTCACCATGTAGACTAGGTTGAGGTTGAGCATGAACCTGTGGGGGGTGACTTTCCTGGCTTTCTCTCCTAAGTGCTGAGATTACATGCTCAGCTTCACTGTTTGTTTAGGAATGTGGGTGAGTGTTTGTATGGATGCTCATGCCAATTAGACATTCAAGGCTGTTTCTCAAGAGCCACCAAAAAAACTTTCATTTTTTGAGAAAGATCTTTCACTAGTCTGGAACTCACTAATTAGGCTAAGCTGACTGGCCAGCAAGGTCCAGAAGGCACTGTCTCTTCCTCCTCAGTGTAAGAATTAAAGATATATTAGCGTACCTGGCTGTTTTATGCAGGTTCTGGGATGAAAACTCAGGTCCTTGTACTTAGGTTTTAGATACTTAATGATTGAGCTACTTCTCTAGATCCGTTTGTTTGCTTTTTCAGACACTCTTACTAGTGCTAGCCCATGATGGTTTTGGACATTTCTTTTCCTTTAGCCTCATAAGGTCTAGGACTGCAGGTGTGTGCTACTATGATGGGTTTTTTTTTTTTTTTAACTTCTTAAAATTAAGACGTGAATTGCTTCACTGAAGTTTAGTTTACTAAACTTACTTTACATCAGTATTTAACACACAACAGTCACACTGATACTGAGTGGTAAGTAAGAACATTTCTTACTTATATAGGATTAAATATTCAAGTTCCCATTAACTATTTATAAATTAGCACTATTCATCAGACAAAAGACAGATTAACAGGTGAATGCTATTTATTTTGTTCTGAAAACTATTTTTTGGGTGATTTCCATTAAAATTTCCTACAGAGTCTTCAAGACCCTTTGGAAACCAGTAAGGGGGGAAACTAGAACTGAGTTCCAACAACAAAAACCACGTTGCCTCCATTAGATCAGCCTGACATATGTATGAGAAACTACCCTGTGTCTGTTTTTCAGAATTACTGAGAAAGATTTCCAGCAAATACACAACAAAAAGTGAAGTCGGGTGCCACTTCAGTTACTTAGTGAAGTTCCAGCTTCCAGCCCCTGAGGTCTGAGGACACCCCGCTTTTGAAGATGGGCTGGCATCAATCTCTTGTCAGTGTGCACTTACCGGTGCTTAACGATCAAGCCTGTTCACAACCTCTCGGACCGTAGCTATGAAGTTTTCGTTGTCTTGGGGATTAGCTAAAATTATACTGTGCAATCTGTTCATGTATGAGTCAATGGTGTCCACTGTGGGAATTTCTCCACTTCCTGAAGTAAGATAAAGACTCAGTAAGATGACTTTCCCATGCAGTTCAGCTACACGACATTTAACAAATCCATGCCAATAAGGATCATGACACGAATGTGATTTGCTCTACAGAAAGATTTCAATTGCATAGGAGGGACTTTTAGACCTCAAAGATAGGAAGCTAATCTTCATATTCTGCCAGGGTTTGGATAAGAAATGTCCCCCACAGGCTTATGTACTTCAACACTTGGTTCTTGGTTGACGGCATTGTTGCAGGCGGTTATGGAACCAGGTGGAGGCTTCGGCAGGAAGTATGATACGGGAGAGGGCTTTCTGAGCTTTGTCCCACCTCCTGTTAGCACTCTCTGCCTAGTGCTTTTGGCCACCAAGCCTGCCACTTGTTGCTACACTTCTCCACCCTGATGGACCCCTCTACAACCATAAGCCAAGACAAACTGTCTCTTCGGTACGTCTCTTTTAGACATGATGTTTTATTACAGCAACAACAGCTAACTCATACATACTCTAAACCAGCAGTTCTTAACCTCTGGTAGCAAACCCTTTTTGGGGGAGGGCTTCAATGACCCAGGGATCACCTAAGGCCGTCAGAAAACACAGATATTTACATTATGTTTCCTAACAGCAGCAAAATTACAGTTTTATGGTCAGGGGGCCACCACACCATAAAGAACTGTATTAAAGGGTCACACCATTCAGAAAAGAACCACTGCTCTAAACAGTTGGGTAATATAATTTTATATGAGGAGTTGTATAACAAAAGGTTTGAGACTGCAAGATTTTTGCTGTGACTATCATCAAAATGAAAGTGTAGGTAAATACAAGTGTGTTTTCCTTCCCATTAAAGCACAAGTAAATACAGGGCAAACAGATTAGAAGAAATGCTCTCCTTAGGATTTGTTACTTGATCACCCAATGGTTCTGAATATCAAATTAGGTTTAATGGTAAGAAACAGGCTATAATAAAACAAAATTAGACAAAAATCTAAATAATCAGTGATTTTTAAAGTTTGGAGATTTTAATAAATATCAACATTTTGTAATATGTCTCATTGATTTTTCTCACAATGTAGCCCTGGGTATCCTTGAATTAGATCAGGCTGGTATGGAAACTCACAGAGATCCACCTGCCTCTGTGAGCCAAGTGTTGGGGTTAAAGGTGTGCACCAGCATGCCCAGCTTGTTTTGTTTTCTATGAGAGGATCTCTCGATACAGCTCTGGCTGTCATGGAGTTCTTTCTTTAGGTAGACCAGGAGGGCCTCAAACTCACAGATATCCTCTTGCCTCTGCCTCCTGCCCTACCCCCACCCACTGAAAATCTTGACAGGAATTTTTTTCCTCTTGGGAGACAGTTCAGCTTGTCCACATTATTATGAACATAAACAGCACCCCGCCCCCCCTGCCCCACTCTTCCTGACACTGAAAGTGTGGAGAGGGCGACAATACCAGGCAAGGGCATGCTGGCAAAGCTGCTGGTCAGCATCTGTCGCAGGGTCTCCAGGTGCTGCTGAAGGACGGTGTTTCGGCTCCGCTCCTGGATCACATCTACCTCCAGCTTCTCCACTGCTGTGCGCATGCTCTCCACATGCTTTTGTAGTGCTGCATTCCGTTCTTCAAACTCCATGTTGGATTTACGAAGCTGGCGGAGCTCTGCCTCACGAGCTGAGGACACATACCCGCCCCAGAACACACGTGGTAAGAGAAGGTGCAGCTGAGGAGTCCCAGTGACTCTTCTATTAAGTTCTGCTTAGCTGTCTCTCATTAGCTACCTCCTCATCTCCCAATTCTCTTTATGACACTCTAGATAGCAATTTCAGCAACAAAATGCCGGGCTCCCCAGAGCTATTTTAATTCTTAAAGCAACATATTCTATATACCAGACTGTAACAAACAGTGTCAATTCCCAGCATTTTGTTACATTTTGCTTTTTAAAATTGTGCAGTGAGAAGCCTGAAGGGCTACATAGGGGTATCTGGGAAAATTGGCTAAACAATGGGATCAGCTTTGTAATTTCTTTTCTTTTTCTTTCACTCTTAAAAAAAAAAAAAGATTTATTTATTTTTATGTGTATGGGTTTTTGCTTGCATGAGTGCCTGGTGCCCACAGAGGCTGGGATAAGCTCACTGGATTCCCTGGAACTAGAATTATAAATTACCACACGGGTTCTAGGAATAGAACCTGGATCCTGTGGAAGAACAATTAGTGCTCTTAAGCTTTAAGCCATCTCTCCAGGCCTCAACTTTGCAATTTGTGTTGTATTCTGGACTGCCATGTAAAATTTCATTTGCATAGAGGGTTCTAGGCTATGTAAAGCCACCATATTAGTGATTTATATTTATTTCTTTTGACCCAGAGGCCAAAGAAACTTTGGCTAAACTGCCCTCACTTCCTCTCACTGGTCACAGGGTGAAATGACAATCATTCTTTGCTGAAGCCCTCCAATGAGGAGGGCTATCAGACAGTGCTTTTGAGCAACCAGCTCCTGAGAACTAAATCCCCTATCAAAGACCAAAGAATACAGAAAACCCAGTAGTAATCACCTTTGCTGTGGTTCAGGAATTCTTCTGTAAATATAGGGATGTCAAAAACAGAGCGTTCCTTTACTTCTGCTTCTTTCTATGAATTAAGAACAAGAGTTAATTCTTAGCAGATAAATAATAGTGCCCAGGGCATAAGGATCATATCTTCCTTAGAGAAATAGTCGGTGAGCAGTAATCAGACCAGGAAAGCCTGAAAGGGGAATATATTTATCTCATTAGAATGGAACTTCATAGAAGTGAAGTAGTTAGTATTAGATTTCTTAGGTGTATGATGGCTGGGAAGTGAAGGACTTGCAAACAAACCCACATGCATTTCACTAATGAAGACAACAGAAGCCATTTCTCACCACAGTGGAGAGTTGTAAATGCACTGGGCAAGCAACTGAAACAGAATGTTTCCAGTTGTTCCTATGGGTTATGCATTTAAATACTTTCTGAGATGGGCATGTGCAATCTAAATTTGCTGAGTGGAGAATAAGAATTCTAGGTAGAGATCTGCCAATGAGCAATAATAATGGTATTCTGTTGATATTTCTATTTATGAAGGGGCAGTTTATCTGTGGGGCTCTTGTAGACTTTTCTTCAGACACAGGAAAAAAACAAACAAACTCAAGAAGCCAGAAATAACCAGGCTCTACAAATAAAATAACTCTAAGGATTATGTGAGACAGAAAAGAATAACAAAGCTCTAATTAATCCACCTATGAACCATTAATCAAAAGTATCATAAAACTGTAAATACTTTCAACCACAAGCCTTGAGAACAGAGCCAATAATATTTCAACTTTCTTTAGTTGCCATTTCTGTAATGAATTTATAGTTGAAGGTATAAGTTATAGGTGTTTTGTATTCAAAGTCTTGCATAATATAAACAGTAGAGTAGACCAAACTGTTGTAGAATCTGAAGAGTCCAAAACCTCTCAACAGGAAAGCAGTAAAACAAAACAAAACAAAACAAAAAACCTGGGGATTCATTCCTACCAAAACATGTTTAAGGTAAGAGATAAAAATGTATAAAATAAAGGATGAAATGCATCCTTTTGCAGCCATGGTGCTTCTGGTGGATCTACATAGGCTTTGTAATAAGACCCCGGCCCAAAGGGAAAAAAAAAAAAGTTTCTACTTGCTACCACTAACTTTTATTTTGAACAACAAAAGAAGTGGTTTGACTCCCAGTTGAAAAGCTGAGCAGTTCAGCTGTGAGGAAAGCTGAGAGCCATCTAACACTGGCGTTTGCCTAGGAAGGGGACAAAGTGTAGGACCTGTCTACTGAGATGGAAATTTAGAGGTTCACACTCATATCACAGCACTTGTGAGAGCTTCTCTCTATAAACCAGAGCTTCTCTCTATAAATGTTTACTTGAGAAACATTTCATTTCAGAGCACCTATTTTTTACTCTGTATTATTTTGTTTTCTTAGTGGAAGCAAGTTTTTCTACAACAATTTAAAAAGAAACAGCACGATTACCATTAAAGCTTCATGTTCTGACATGCAAACCTCTCCCTTAAAACAATTCCTCAGGTTCAATGACAACTGATTAATGTATGAGAGACTGATGCCAAAAGAGGTCTTAGCCACAGGTCTAGTAGCTGACCACAGATTGCAGGCTTACTATATATGTTAACTTTATTAGCTGGTTGTGACAGGAAAACTCAGACATACAGTCCAGCATCGTCATGGCACAACAGGTCCAATCCTAAGTCTACAAATGACTTAGGATAGAGCCTTGTAACTTCAGTTCTCTTACGTTGTTCAATTTCTTACTCAGCTGCACAGTGACCTCACCATGGGGCCCAGTGTTTGCCATTCAGAATGATAAGGAGTTGCTTGGCTCCCATTATCATGGCACAAAGGCCTTTTTCAAGGTCTTAACTCTCCTCAGAATGGCAATTCCATTCTATTCTTTGCCAGAATAGTCCAAACCCATCTCATCATGTAAGGGCAGAGGCTACCAACAGCCAGGTGCAATATACACAGCCCCTTGGTACAGATTCTTAGAAACACTAAAGCAATTAAATGAAACTGTTCAGTCTCTGTATGCAACAGAGAAATTCTACTTGAAGGAAGAGTGGTAATAAGAACCACCAGCACTCAGCCATTACTGAGTATATTATTCGACAGAGAAAGGCTCCTCCTGGGGGCTTGTATATACTAAAATACTCTAAGGATTGCTCAAGGGATTAAAATCGAAAGGATTCGATTACCTCATTGAAAGGGTCTAATTTGTTCAGCCTGAGTGTCATTTTTGTCATTTTTTATAAATTAAGGGAGAAACAAAATTATTGTTTCTATTTGGTCTTCATATGCAATGAGGACATTTTCCAGAGAGTAAAACTCACTGCCTCTCATGCCTGGTGGGCTGGTTTTTGATCTGAGAAGAGAAGAATACTCTTCACTTTGGATCTCCGTCTGTACACCGAGTGGAGGAAAAAGAGCAGTGGGCTTTCTGAACATAATCTATTTCAGCCTGTGATTTAGGGAGGCTCAGGGCCAGAACTACAGAGAGTATGCCATGCGTCTCTCAAGTGCCTTTTACTTGAGGACCATTCTTATTATCATGAGCCAGAATGCAGTGCCTTCTGCTAAGCAGAATGGCTTCCAGGAGAGCATTTGTTAGCTCTTAGATGCACTCTGCTGCTCCTACCCAGGCAACAATGACTTAGGGAATCTCAGTCAATTTAGAAATAAAATCAGCTTCTTTGCTATATGAAATTGGTAAATCTGTCTTCACTAGCATTGAAGTGACATCTCGGGTTTACATTAACAGTGTCTAGTTTATTCCATGTAGCATGGCACTGTGTTGTCAATAGTGGTTAACTGGGGTGCAGGAAGCTTAGGATTTAACTGCTCTACTGCATCTAACTTAAGTCTGTCTGTCTGTCTGTCTGTCTGTCTATCTACCTACCTACCTACCTACCTACCTACCTACCTACCTACCTACCTACCTTGGTTTTTTAAGATAGGGATTCTCTGTGTAACAGCTGGCTGTCCTAGAACTTGCTTTGTAGACCAGGCTGGCTTTAAACTTAGATATCTGCCTGCCCCTGCCTCCTGAGTGCTGGGACTAAAGGCATGTGCCATCATGCCAGGTTCAACTTTTAATTTTTTTTAAATTTAGTTCATTTTAATGTGTGAGGGCGTTTTGCTTGCATACATGTCCACATATCACGTGTGTGCCTGGACCCTACAGAAGCAAGAAGAGAGCTCTTGTGGGACTAAAGTTACAGATAGTTGTGAGCTACCTAGAGGTGCTGGGAATTAAACCTCTGCAAGAGCAGCCTGTGTGTCTGACTTCTGAGCCATTTCTCCAGGGCGCCTCTAACTTAACTTGAATAAACTCTCTTATCCTAGGCAAGCTAACCCCTTCACTGGTAAATTGGGGCAGCTGAAAAGATGTCTGAGGCCTTAGTATTCTAAGACAGACTGGATGCCTGTTCTATTGGGAGCCCATTTCACTCCTCAAAAGGAAATAAGTATAAATTTAGAATCCATGATGTTTAAGGTATTTTACAGGATGCATTCTCTTTCTATGAACTCACTCATACATCTGCTGAAACATTCCAAATATCATAGCACATATGAACATCAGAGGTCAACCTTGGGCGTCATCCTTAAGAATGAACCAGCCACTGTGTTAGTTGAGATAGTCTTTCTTTGGCCTGAAGTTGCCAGTTAGGCCCAGCCTGCCTCCACTTCCCCAGAGTGAGTATTACAAGCATGTGCCACTCTTCGAGGTTTTTTATGTGAGTGCTGGGGCTCAGACTCACACCCTCGTGCTTGCACAATAAGCACTCTACTGACTAAGCCATCGCCTAGCTTGAGCACCATTTTGCTTACATTTCCACGGCTTTCCAGTCATCTTTCGATTCTTACAGGAAAGTAAGTTTTTGTAGTTTTTGTAGCACAAGCATCATGCTAGGTAATATGACATTGGATAGAAAGGTAGAAACTAGATCAGGTTTGCCCTCTCAGGGAGGTTAGATGGAAGTGCTTGGAAGAAGTCTAGACAGGTCAGCTCAGCTAATATTACAGGAGAAGTATAGCAATTTTGAAGGTTAAAACAAGCTAGAAGTAGTAAACACAGCTAAGGAGGAAAGAGAACCTAACAGGGCTTTAAGGGGGACTTCAACTTTGAGAGAAGGAAATAGAAAGATGCAAACAAGAATGTCTGAGGAAGGGAGATTATCCTGTGAAAAGAACAACAGGAACATGGATTTGAGGCAGAGAAGAGCAGTACCTAGAAGACAGCAGAAAATATTTTTAAGGTGTTTGAAACGGGAAGCTGGGACTAATTAAGGCAGACCCTGATTGCTGAGTTTGAATATGATTTGGTGAGCAAAGATGAGTCCCTGACATTTCAAAACACAGAATGACCACAGATGATTTATAATTTTTGTAATCATATATTCAACAGCCTACATCTGTATCTGAAGCACATAAAAGCAGCATAGGCAAACATGTAAGATCATGTATTATACACACAGAAACATAGGCTTAAATTCTACTGATGGGGTTGAAGCAAACCAGCCAGAAGAGGCCAATAGGAAAGCGCATGCCAGTAAGATGGGAACAGGGAAGGAGGGACTGACCTTCTGTCAGCTGTGTGCTACTGACTAGCTGAGATGCATTTTAACCAGGCTGGAGCTCCTAAATAACACCTTTCTGAAAGTGGGATGACAGCATTTGTTGCTGATAAACTACGGCCAAGTTGCAGCTTCTAGCTGGCTTTCATTTCTGTGTCTCATTCTGAATTCCAACCATATTTGGCATTTAAAACTAATAAAATTATTAGACTACAGGAACAGATTGGGGTTAGGGATTGTAGTTCAAAGGCAGATTTATGACCTAAGTGTCTACCATATGTTAAGAACCCCCAAGCCAAAGCAACTCACTCAGTCTGAATTTTGGGATAAAAACTCTATACCATTCATGAACAGCATTAACAGCAATATTATTATAAATATATACGTGACAAGTAGACAGAAAGCTAATTACCTCATGATCATGAGTGGCCTGTCGGGCTGCATCTAAAAATATGAAATAAAGAAAACATTAAATTGAAAAAGTAACAAAACCCAAGTATATGCCAACCACAGAATTTGCTGGTATTTGTGGACTTTTACAACATATGATATTTTCATTTATGACACTATTAACTGTCAGTCAAATGGAACCCCATACCTTGAGAGCACACAATCAGACGTAAGAAAACAGCACACATTCTTACCGTTGAGAGAACAGGGTGGGAGGGGAGGTAGGAAACACATGCCAAAGGTCTTAGCATCCTAGATGTGCAAGTGTGGAGAAGATTCTGTGGCTAAGGAGTGACAGACCAGTGTGGATGCTGTGCCTTTGGTAGTGTCTCCTGGAGACGGGAGCCTGAAGTGAGACTTGAGAGGATGTCATGTACCATTTCAACAGAAAGAAAGAAAGAAAAAAAGATCCCATGAAGACATAGATGCTGTCTCTTATTCACTGTTGCTCCCTCAACGCCTAGAAGAGCCTGGTACTTAACAGAGAGGCTCAACAGATCTCTTTGAATTCATGCACAAATAAACTGTTGAATGAAGAAGGTCACAGAAGCCAAGAGAAATAGCACAGAAAAGGCTTAGGAGTATTAGGGCAATTTAGTTACATGGTTTAGAAGACAGACTTGTTTAAAGGTAGAGAAATGCCTAAGTTGGAAACTAGACGAAGAAAGGTAGGCAGCTAATAATGGTAGTTTCGGTACACCAGCCAGATTGATGATCTTAGATATGGCAAACCAATCAATGCCTAAATGAGAGTGATTCGATTCTGGTAAAATTCTAAGGTGACATCTGTAAGTGAATGCAAGATAATACAGAAATATTAGAGCCTCATCTTTCACAGTTGTCACTTTAACAGTTGGCTTCACAACATTTCATTACATATGATAAACTACATTTGGTTCTGATACCTTGCCTATGAGATTTGCCTTTCTGACGGTCCTGGGTTTTCCTACTGAAGACCTTGTAGGCCTCGGTCTTCTGATACTGTTCCAGTTCCTTCATGTAACGCTCCTTATCTCTGTCTGCTTCATCAAGGTAGCGCTGGAAAGGAAATGTGGGATTATTTTCAAGAAACTGACATTTTAGGTAAAATATCAATTTCTTTTTAAAAGAAAACAGTACAATTAAAACATAAAAAAGTATACAGTCAGTATGTTCTAGGAGAGAATCTGAAAGTAGTCATAGTATAGAGCAAAATCTTTCAATTCTAAATTAGTCAAGGGCTGGTGGGGTAGCCCAGTAGGTAAAGGTGCTTGCTATCAAAACTTGGACAACTTCAGTTTGATCCCTGGAATACACATGGCTGAAGAAGAAAACTGATGCCTGAAAGTTGTCCTGACCTCTGTACATATACATACACTCATAAAATAAATAAATAAAACCCATCATTTAGAGAATGAATGAATGAATGACTTTCTAGACTGTGTATTGCCTTTCCTAGTTTAATGAAGTTCTATTGAGAGCACTATCATAAAACATTCATGAAGATTACAGTCAACCATCTCCTTAGTCTCACAGATAGAATTTCATACAACCACTAGCTTTTTCAGAGGTCTGAACCCCATACAGGCACATATTCCCAGGGGAAGGTCAGGAATATTAGTTTGTTTCTCTATCCTCAACTCATTTTGAGGGAATGAGCTCATACCTCCATTGGCTTTTTCAAAAGCTAGATGAGTGGAACACTAAAGCTGGAGAACATGAAAAGAATGATCTCATCCTACGGGCCTAAAGGAGACTACTTTAAGAAAGCTTTAGCTGTATGCTTTGATCATTTTGCATTATTAATTATTTAAACAAGTTCATTGATTGTCAGGATTGTTTTGCTTAATGCCTTGTCCGTTTCATTCATCAAATTAGGTGTAAGAAAATATAAAGGGTGCTGCCTATAAATGACCAAACCAGATGCAGAGGTTATGTTAGAAATCTTTACCCCCACACAGCAGATATAAGGGATACCCAAATCTGGGATGAGCTAAGCAACAAATAACTAAGTACAGTAATAATTTATAAACCACTGGAAAAAGAAATTTATACCATAAGTTTATGATATGAATTATTTATGATCATATCATTAATAAGCAGAATGTAAGCGAGTATTCAAGAGGAGAAAGGAGTGGAGCTCCTGCATAGATTAGAAAGCCGAGGGCCAGTTGGGCAACAGTGGCACACATCTTTAATTCCAGCATCTGGGAGGCAGAGGCAGGCAGATCCCTGAGTTTGAGGCCAAACTGGTGATTGTGTGGGGAGTATTAGAGTATAAAATTTTATCATTTTGTAAACAATAATAAAGATTGTATAAGGTGAAGTCTAAGAATTTTTTTCTTTTACTTACTTTTTTAAAAGACAGGGTCTTTCTATATAGACCTGGGTGTCTTGGAACTCATTATATGAAACAAACAGTCTCAAGCGCACAAAGATTCTCCTGCCTCTGCTTCTCAGGTGCTGTAATTAAAGGCATGTGCCACCATGCCGGACTCTGGTTTCTTTTCAGATCATATAAATCTTTCTTCTTTTCTTTTCTTTTTTGAGTGAAGTTCTCACTGTGTATCCCTTGATGTCTTGAAACTCACTATGTAGATAGCCTTGAACTTGTACGAGGTCAGCCTGCCTGAGTGCTGGGGTTAAAGGTATGCATTGCCATGCCTAGCTACCACTACAGAAAATTTTTGATGTAAAACAAGTTATACATTTTAAAAATATCTCTCCATAGACTGCTTATGAATTATAAGGAAAATTTTACTATGTCAATAAAATAACAAGTAAGTAATAGAAGGACACAGTATGCCTGCATATATGATACTTTGAGGAGTGCATAACATCTGTCTAAGAATGTATAATATAAATCTAATCACAAGGAAATGTCAGATAAACAGAAAAGAATAACGTTTCCTTAAAAGTAAAAAACAAAAGCAAAATACCCATGTGTGTGAGGGTTGAGGGGGCAGAGGAGAGGTCAGACTAGAGAGTTCACACTGTCTACAAACATCAAAGTATAACTTATAAAGATAAAGCAACTCTGTGGAAACAGCCTGAAGAGAATTAACAAATATTTGACTAAAGCCAGCCTGGTATTAGGCTGAAACCTGCATGAAGGGATGCTGCTGACAGGAATGACATTATCTCAGCCTCTGAGTGTAGAGCACAGCATGATGTTAACCTAAAATAGTGAACTTGATGACTTTATCAGTTATGTAACAGAGGATCTCTATTTTTAGGAAAGAAGAACGTATTCTGGGATAAAGGGCCAGGATATATGTAAGTTGCCTTTAAATAATTTAGGAAAAAAATGGTGTGTGTATGTGTATTAAAGAGAGAATACATGTAAATGGAGGAAAGGAACACAATGTGTTAGCAATAGAGAAGTTGTTTAAAGGTTTGCCGGATGTTCTTTGTACTATTTTTATGTTGTAACTTTTTGTGCATTTCAAATGATTTCACAATAAAAAGTTGAGGAGCCTACCACAGAGAGCCTCTGAAAGACTCTACCCAGCAGGGTATCAAAGCAGATGCTAAGACTCATAGCCAAACTTTGGGCAGAGTGCAGGGAATCTTATGAAAGAAGTGGGTGACAGAAAGATCTGAAGAGGACAGGAGCTCCACAAAGAGACCAACAGAACCAAAAAATCTGGGCCCAGGCGTCTTTTCTGAGACTGATACCCCAACCTAGGACCATGCATGGAGACAACCTAGAACCCCTGCACAGATCTACCCATGGCAGTTCAGTGTCCAAGTTGGTTACTAGTAAGGGGAACAGGGGCTGTCTTTGACATGAACTCAGTGGCTGGTTCTTTAATCGCCTCCTCCTGATGGGGGAGCAGCCTTAGCAGGCCACAGAGGAGGACACTACAGCCAGTCCTGATAAGACCTGATAGAGTAGGGTCAGAGAGAAGGGGAGGAGGAACACCCCTATCAGTGGACTTGGAGAGGGATATAGGAGGAGATGAGGGAGGAAGGGTGGAATTGGGAGGGAATGAGGGAGGGGGCTACAGCTGGGATACAAAATGAATAAACTGTAATTAATACAAAAAAGTTGATCAAATACACACAAAACCCTGTTGTAACCTAACCAGCCAACAGTGGCTATCACTAGAGAACCACTGTGACTTCTGCGATAAACCATGTGCATGTGTTTAAAATAAAGATACAAAAATAAAATAACCTGGCACATCCAGCTGATGATCCTCTCGTTATAAACTGCTTTCTATTAGCTTGCTACCACAAACACAAAGCTTTAAATTGAAATTTAATTCCATCTCTTTGAAAAATTTTGAATTCAATTAATTCCCAAGACAGTATTTTTCAATTTGGTTTTAGTCTTTCTGGAATCCATTTTAAAGAGTGCAAGTTTTAAGAGTTTAAGACATAAAAGAAATACAGATCTTTCAGATGCCGGGAAATGGGCTTTTAATGCAAAGCCTGGCAGTCACAGACACCATCATCCCTTTGCCTCAGTGGCCTTTCACCAGTACATGGCTATCTTGTGCTTAACTCCCCTCCAATTTCTCTTACAAAGGAATTCTAGTTTTACTTTGGCAACAGGGTTAGTTTCTGTCTTAGAGGAGAAGGATCAAGCAGTTCCTGCTTTATTTCCTATAGTGGTTAAATTTGCTCGAACTCTAGTTAAAACAATCAGTTAAGCAATAAAATCTTTTTCTTAAATAAAATTCTTACATGAATTGAATTTTGGCAAATGATTTTTCCTCTCATTTTTATTCATGACTTTCATTTAGCTCAATGGAATATATTAGTTTGATAGATTTCTTAATTTCTTAATATTGAACCACTTTTCAAAACATTCTTCTGTGAACTCAATATACATATCAAATAAAAATGTAGCTGCTTTGGTTGGGGGTGTATTCTAGAGTCTTTTCAGCTTACAACCCTTAGGACAACGCCTCTTGGGACAACGTCTACTCACTGTGCTAGAGAGAAAACCCACAAGAATCCTAATATTCTGGTCTTTTCCTTCCCATATAGTTTCTGGTGGTTTTGCTGTTCCTGGCCTTGTAGAAACATAATTTTTGCTTCTGCCTTCCTCTTCCTATGTCCCTCTCCAGGGGGGGGGGGACCATCTTTCTCCCCTGTGAACACCAGCCACTGGGTCAGGGCATGTTAACCATCTGGCCTCTCCTTAGCCAGTCACAGCGACAGTCTTGTCCTGAGACTGCAGACACAGACTTAGGGGACGCTCTCCATGCCAGTACACATGGCCAGGTCACTGAATTCCTAAGTGTGTGGCACTGCTTAACTTGTTTTGCGACTCCAGGTCTCGCTTTAGCCAAAGTCTTTTCTTACTTTCCTTCTGCAATATTAGAGACTGAATCCAGAACCTGTGTAAGGCAGACAAGTGATCTGCTATGAGCTACCACCCAAACCTTTCTATTTAGTTTAAGACTCTAAGTTGCTTGGGTTAGCCTTGAATTCACTCTGTAGCCCAGAAGGGCCTTGAACTTGTGCTCTTTCTGCCTTAGTCCCCGGATATTCTGGTCTTCTAAGCACTGTGACACAACTGAAAAATCAACTGTTCCATCTTCTATGTTTTTTGATAGAAATCTTTAAAAAATCTATTTATTACATTACACATTCATATGTCTCTGTGTGAGTGTGTGTGTGAACATATGTCAAGTCTATGTGGTGCTTGTAAAGGGCAGAGAAGGGATCAGCTGAAGCTCAAGTTCCATGCAGCTGTCAGCTGCCTAAGAAGGGTGCTGGGAAATGAACTCAAATCCTCTGGGGGAGCAGTGAGTGCATTTGACCACTGAGCCACCTCTCTAGCCTCCAAATCATTTTTGAGATATGATCAAAAACAAGGAAAGGGCCAGAAGCAAGATTTGTCACCTGTTTTTCCTCAGGAGGCAGTTTACTCCACTCATTGCCCAACATCCTTGTGATTTCTGGAAATGGGACCTCTGGTCTCTTTGCCCGAAGCTGTTCTCTACGCTCGTTCATGAATCGAACATATCCTGTAAGGGGGGATTTAGGTGCATTGCTGTCTCGAAGAGGTTTCTTCCTTTTTCTCCCCTTGGACCAACCTCCTCGTTTACTTCTTTGCTATATAACAAAGCAAAATGAAAAACCAAAAATCAAACAATTATCACTCAAGTAACCCATCAACAACGGTAACAAATGACAACATCAAAAGAGGACAGGAGCTGCATTTCCCTAGGCCCTAGATAGCCAAAGCTCTCCAGATCAGCTAAGTACCAAGGACTACAGCACTAAGTACAAGTTTAGATATCTCAACTGCAGTCCCGCTCAGGCAGTGTTCTCTACCTGTGGGTCCATGACCTTTTCACAGGGATCCCATACTAGATATGGTGCATATCAGGTGTTTACATTATGATTCATAATAGTAGCACAATTACAGTTATGAAGTAGCAACGAAAATAATTTTAGCCAGGTGGTGTGGTGCACACCTGTAATCCCAGCACTCAGGGAGGCAGAGGCAGGTGGATCACTGTGAGTTGAGGCTAGCCTAGTCTACAAAGCGAGTCCAGGGCAGCCAAGGCTACACAGAGAAACCTTGTCTCAAAAAACAAAACAAACAAAAAAAGAAAATAATTTTATGGTTGGGGTCACCACATCATGAAGAACTGCATTAAAAGGTTGCAGCATTAGGAGGTTGAGAACCACTGGTTTCAGGCATCCTACTACAAACTAGAGAAATAAATGGCTATTAAAATTTTATTTTTGGATTCTAGGTGCAGTGGAGCATGTCTGTAATCCCAGCACTCAGGAGGCAGAGGCAGGCAGATCTCTGAGTCTGAGACCAGACTGGTCTACAGAGGGAATTCCAGGACGGCCAGGGGTACACAGAGAAACCCTGTCTCAAAAACAAAACAAAACAAAACAAAACAAAACAAAACAAACAAAAAAAGAAAGCAATGAAAAAAATTGCAGAATCACGTATTTTTCCATAGTCTTTCTTCTTGTCCTTCTAAATGAGACCTAGGTACATCATATTTTTGTTTCATAATTTAACAGATACACAGTCTATCAGCTAATGTATCATGAATACAGGAATTCTTATTTCAGAGAAGAGAAAGGTAAACATGATGCAAAAAGGGATACAAACATCCATGTCTTAATTGTATTACTACATTCCTCCACATATATGTGAATGGTGACAGTTCTCCATTTGGTAAATAGTATATTAGAGATTAGGTTTCCAGTTTTTTGTTTTACTTTTTGGAAATCTAGGAAGAACGAAGCTACTAAGGAGCTTAGGGCTGTGGCTCAGTGTAAATACACTTAGCATGAATCCCCAGCATTATATACCCACACAAATACTACCCCACACCCGCAAAAACACATAACAAGTCAATGAAAAGCTACCAGCATTCACTATTATCTTTAAAAATGCTAATGAGGTGAATGTGAATGAACAAACTAGTCTTTTCACACGAGAGAAAAGAAAAAAAAATCGATGTTATTCTTTTTTGTCTTAAAATAGAAGAGTGCAATGTGATCAGTCATCTATAACCGAGTCTGGAGGTCCAAGAAGGACATGACTGCAGTGCCCACACTGAATCCTTGTGCGATTTAGGGAAAGATGGACCCTATGGGAGGGGACAGTCATTAAGTGACGTGGCGCATGTGTGGCAGGGCTTGTGAGCAGCTAAGAACAAGGGCGTGAAGACTTCTCCGTAGTCACCTAATTAAAGCATTCCCTCACAAAAAAAGGATTTGTCCAGGCTGAGCACGGTGAGCACGGTGAGCACATCTGCAATATTAGCATGCAGCTTGGATTACCTGAGACTCTATTTCAAGATAGCAATAACAATAATACATAAAAACCAAACAACACGACAAAACAACTCCTGAGCACTGTTGAACATTTCATAGGCGGTAGCTATATTTAGTCAGACTGAGGCCAAATAGATTCAATTTGTCTCTGTCATTAAAACATTGATGTGGCTCTAGATATGACAAGAGATACGTATGAGAGAGCTGGGTAAGGTCAGCCCAGGAAACTAAGACATGAGACGGCTCACTCAATAACTCCTTGGATGCCTGTTGCCTTGGCAGCTCCAGAGGACGGTGACAGGAAATGTTCGCTTACCTCATCTTCATGCCTTTGCTCACTGCCCTCTGCAGCATTGGAAGACTCACTCTGAAGCAGCTGGCCCTGGGAGAGGTCCTCCACAAATTCTGGGTTGTTGGTGGATGATGCGGCCGCACTGCCATACAGACCTTCGGGGTGTGTTAACCTGGGCAACAGGCAGAAGTATGCATGTTTAGCACGGAGAGCAGCAAAAGCTTCCTTTATCAGGCTGAGGATAAATTTTCCTGCCAGCAAAAACACATGTCAATATTTGAATTATTTCTACCACTGCAATCTGCATAAAGTATAATGATGTTTCTACAGACATCTAGGAAAACCAACTCTAATCTCTGTCCACAACAATGGCCTCTCCTCCCAAGATAGACTTTATGTTTCAGCTCTGAGCATGCGACGAAGCCTGGCTTTTATACGCTACCTTTCATATGTTTCCAGTGTGATGAAGGAAACACTAGTAATGGACCAGAAGAATAGGGGTTGTCCAGGTACTTTGACTCTTACCATAAAGGAGCTATTTCTTAAAGAGTATAGGAAATAATTTTTATGGAATATAACGCAGACTTTAATTACTTGGATTATAGATTGAATGATAATCAGATCATTTGACTATCTAATAAGTTCAAATATAATTTTTTTTGATGTATTGGAGATCAATCCCAGATTTTCATACATGTTATGTAAATGTTCTGTTTACAACCCAAGTATAAATATTAATTAGTTAGGCAGATCTACTATTCTCCTTCCAATAATCTATTCCTAATAAGTTCTTCTATGAAGTGGACAAGAAGGGGACAGATTATGGATGGCTGAGCGTTAGACTTGCATATGCCGGTAAGATATTTATTTATCTTTTTGAGGGAGAGGACTGGAAAGGTAGGAGAGGCGGGAAGACAGATATAGAGTAATATCCAGTTATTACTCTGAAAAAATACACACTCCATAGGACAATGAGCAGTAATCACAATGCAATCTAAGTACTACAAGAGGTGTTTATAGAAAGTGTCATATGAGGCAATGGAGAGGGTCAGATGAACTATGGAAGAGGCTGTTAAGAAACATTTCACAAAGGAGGTCTTGGAAGATGAACAGGCATTCATCAGGTAACAGCATCATCCCAGGCAGAACGAACATGGTCTAAGATAAAAAGAGTTCTGTTAAGACCTGTGCAACATATTATGAGCTTACATAAAGGCAGGATGAAAAGCAGAAACACAAAAGACAAAGACAAAGAAAGTGGAGATTGGAGTGAACGTAATGAATGAAGGAGCACAAATAGTCAAGGGGCAGTAAGAGTCCACGGTAAATCCGACGTGTCCAGGCAGTGATTAGGTACTTACATTAATCATGAGCACAATAGGGTGTATGGATGAGCAGACACACATGTGAGACAATGAGTTTGAGATGCCTACAGCATAATTAAGTGGAAATACCCTATAGACAACTGGAAAACATGTCCCAAGATACTGAAGTAGGGATATGGAGCCTGGACCACCATCTTCTGTAACCAGGCAAGCCTTCCAGTGATAAGACTGGGCTATCAACCCAGCCATAAAACTTTTGGCCTACAATTTGTCCTCCTTGCAAGATGTGATGGGGCAGAACTTGTGGGAGTGGCCAACCAATGACTGGTCCAACTTGAGAGGGAGACCACGCCTGGCACTGCCTGGACGGCCAAGAATCAAAGGCTGAAGAGCCCACAGACCTAGAATAGAACCAAACATGAATGGCCAAAACAGAAAAAAAAGTCAATGAAATGATTCCTAATGACATTCTGGCACAGACTGAAGCTTAGCCAAACATGAATTAGATGGAGCTTGGGGAACCCACAGAAGAAGGGGAAGAAGGATATTAGAAGTCAGAAGGAATGGAGGCCATCAGGAGAACATAGCCAACTGAATCAAATAAGTAGAACTCATAGGGGCTCACAGAGACTGAAGCAACAACCAAAAATCCTGTATGGGTCTGAGGTAGGTTTTCAGCATGTATGTTTATGGTTGTGTAGCTTGGTGTTCTTGTGGGACTCCTAACAGTGGGAGTGGGGGGTGTCTATGAATTTTTTGCCTGCTCTTGGGACCCTCTGCCTTCTACTGGTTTGCCTATCTAACTTTGATATGAGGGTATGTACCTAGTCTTATTATGCTATTCTGTGTTCAGCTGATATCCTTGAGAAGCCTGGGTGTTTTTTTTTTTTTTTTTTTTTTTTTTTTTTTTCCAAAAAAACAGAGGAGGAACAGATCTGGAGGAGAGGGAAGCTGCAGTGGGGGAAGAGACTAGGAGGAGTTGAGGGAGGGGAAACTATGGTCAGAATGTAATGTATGAGAGAAGAGGTGTGTTTATGTATGTATGTATGTATGTTCTTCTAAGAAGTGAACAAGAAGGGGACAAATGATGGATGGCTGCATGTGCTAGTAAGTTATTTATTTATATTTTTAAGAGGGAGGTCTGGAAGGTAAGAGAAGCAGGAAGACAGATAATAGAGTAATATTCAGTTATTATTCTAGACAAATACATACTCCATAGGACAATAAGCAGAAATCACAATGCAATGTCATCAGCTTAAAACCTCCTGAGTTTTAGCAGCTGGAGTGATGGCTCAGTGGTTAAGAACATTGGCTGTTCTTCTAGAGGACCCGAGTTCAATTCCCATGAACCCACAAGGAAGCTCACAACTGTTGTAACTTCTGTTCCAGGGGATCTGACACCCTCACACAGATATATAGTCAAAACACCAGTGCACACAAAAATGAATGAATTAACTAAGACAAAACAAAATAAAATTTCCTGAGTTTCAAACATTTTTCTTCCAGCAAAACATGTAAATCAGGTTAAGAAAGAAGAGCAACCCCCAAAATTCCTGACAGACACAGGTAGGTATCTGAAGGGAGTATTGATAGGTGTCCATTGCTCCTAGCTAAAGCTAACAAACTTTCCATTTCCACCCTTGATCTCACTCTCCTGACAACTCAAGGGCAGACTTTTAGCAATTCTGTCTTGTCTGGCATCACAAGTTCTTTCTCCTACAGGATTTGTACACTCTGTTGAAAGTGTGTGTATAATTCTTAAGCAAAAGGAAACAAAAGAAAGATACTGTCTTAACTTTCAGTGGAGATCTTCATTTGTTCTTTCCTCAACAGCTAACGCCCTGGAAAGAATGGGTTATACTCACTGAAATCAATTGTTCCCTGTTCTCTCTGAAATGTATTTCAAAGGAGATGCAAGCTTACAGCTCTTATCTAGGCCACCAGTAAATATTGTGTGAAATGCAATGTCATTTCTCAGTCCTTATCCAGTCTACCAGAGGACCTGGCACAGCCAGTCTCTTCCCATCCCGTGAACCCTCAATTTCTAGTTCCCCGTGTGTCTGTTTATTCTGCTACCTCTCAGCAGTCAATGATTCTGGCTGATTAGTCCTTCTGTCTGTCTTCCAGGTGCTGGAACCTCCCAGAGCTCAGGCTCTTTAGGTGCCCATCCCATGTCCCCCATCCCAACCCTGCCTCCAGAGCTCATTCCTTTGGTGACTTTTATCTAGTCTCATGACTTTAATATTGCTAGATGCTAATGATCTCTACCTTTTCTTTCTAGCCTAAACTGTCTGGAACTTCAGAACCTGATATGACATTGCTTGATTGACATCCCAGCTTAGCGCTCTAACAATCACCTTAAATTTATAGTTTTCTGACCAAGCTTCCTTCCCTGAACTGTTTAGTTCCTCCTTCTAAGTTAGTGGTGACTCCAAAACCTGCAACTGTTTTTGTCTTTTTTTTTTTTTTTTTTTTCCTTTTCACACTGCTCATCTGGTCTTGCTGGCAAATCCTGTTTGGTCTATTATCAAAACAGCTCTAGAATTCCATACTTCTCGCTAACTCCATTCCCACATCTCAGAAACACTCTAAGAAGTTTTTTTGTTTTTTTTCTTCACAAGCTCGCCAAAATTATTCTTTCAAAGTTATGAGTGATGTTCTTCAGGCCCCTCTCTTCTCAATTACTTCCAGAGTTTACTGTACAGGTCTCCTTGCTCTAACCCTGGCTCCCTTCACCCCACTGGCAGCATAAGAGTCAGATTAGTAAGGAGTCAGTCAGATCTTATCATTCTCCTCAAACCCTCCAGAGTGTAGAGTGAAGGTTAAAAGATCTCACAGTCCTGCATGAAGACCCTTCCTACTCAGAGTACGGCCCTTAGCACAGTATTACTTGCAAGCTTGTTAGAAACACAGCCTTAGCTCAGATTTCCTAAATCACAATCTGCCTTTTCATTTTTTGAGACAGTTTCTCTGTGCAGTCGTGGCTGTCCTGGACTCATTTTGTAGTCAAGGCTGGCCTTGAACTCAAACAGATCTGCCAGCCTCTGTCTCCCAGAGTGCTGGGATTACAGGCATGAGCCACCATACCCAGCTAAGAATCTGCATTTTAGTAAGATCTCTACAAAATTCTTAGGTACAGTGAAGAAGCATCATAGAGTCCTTTGTTGCCCCTCATCCTTCATTCTGCTGTTTAAACCACACTGCCTTTCTGGCTACTTCTGCAGGGCAGTAATATCCTTCATTCCAGGCTCTTGCCTTGATTGCTTCCTCTGCCCATAAAAAAATCTTCCTTACATAATGACATTCGAATGACCGGACTTCTTTTTGGGGAAGGGGCACATACTTAAATCACATTCTCATGATATGTTTTCTTAGCTGCTGTCTGAAACTATACCCCTAACCTTCCTAACCCTCCTACCTACTACACTCAATCCACAGTTCTTATCAACAAAGCGGGCATTCCACTTACTCTGTTTAGGGTCCCATTTTTCTGTCGGAATCTGAGCTATAAAAGGACAAAGAAGACAAGCGTGGTGGCCCATGCTTATCATTCCAGCACTCATGAGGCAGAGGCAGGAGGACTGCCTCAAGTTTGAGGACACCTTGGTCAGCAGAGTGAGTTCTAGGTCAGCTTGGGCTACATGGTGAGATATTGTCAACTAAAAGTAAAAAAATAAAAAATAAAAAAGACTAAGTTTGTTGCTTCTGTTGACCTCTGTTTTTGATCTAATGCCTGAACGTTCTCTGTTATACAACTGGAAGAAAAATGTTATTGTTTTGAGAAGGATCTCACTATGTAGTCCTTGCTGGACTTTAACTCACAGGCACCTGCCTTCCTCTGCCTCCCAAATACTGAGCTTAAAGGCATGTGCCACCCTGCCAGGCCAAAGTAAACATTTTTTCCTAAATGAACTAATCTAGGAAATAGGGAACCTTTATAAAAGTCTTGGGGAAGAATTTCATTTCATTTCATTTCTTCTGCCAGTGAAGTCAAAAGGCAGATATATTAATGAGGTGAGAAATGAATGTGAGGCAACAAAACAGAATTTCATAGTATGGGTTATTTTTAAAAGAGCTTTAAAGATTAAAATAATTCATTTTAGGGATTAGCTAGCACTTGAATCTATTAGTGAATATATTTCTTCTTTGGCAAACAGCTTCTAAATATCAAGAAAAGATAAAAACCTCAAGTGAATCCAGGCATAGTAGGGGCAGGCCTTCAATCCCAGCACTCAGGAAGCAGAAGCAGGTGGATCTGAGTTCCAGGCCAGATTGGTCTACAGAGCAAGTTCCAGGACATCGAGGGTTACACAGAGAAACCTTGTCTTAAAAAAAAACAACCAACGGCTTGGTGTGGTGGCACACACCTTTGATCCCAGCACTTGGGGAGGCAGAGGCAGGCAGGGCCAGCCTGGTCTACAAAGCGAGTCCAAGATAGCCAAGGCTACACAGAGAAACACTGTCTCAAAAAAACAAAACAAAACAAAACAAAACAAAAACAACCAACCAACCAAAACCACACAAAATCCAAACCAAAACAAAAACCCTCTCAAATGGAACAGAGAATTTCAAGGTAAGAGGTGGACACTGTTATTAACTTTTCTCTGAATTCATTTATAAATTTGTCCAACGATCCCATGGAAAAGTGATGGGAGAAATAAGAAGCTGGCTAAAGCTTCTAAGCATCTTATTTTTTAACTAACAAAGTGTATTTTTATTTGTATGGGTGGTTGTGCCTGTATGTATGCCTATGCACACATGTATGGCTATGTATACGGTGCCCTCTAAGGCCAGAAGGCAGCATCGGATTCCCTAGAACTGGAGTTGTAGAAGGTTATTGAGCTGGGAATGTTGGTGCTGAGAACTGAACCAGGCTCCTCTGGAAGAGTAGCCAGTGCTCCTAACCACTGGGCCATCCCTCTTGCTCTAGCTTCTAAACATCTTAAACAAAGAATCATATGAAAACAGTAGAACTTGAGCTAAAAATGGCTCAGGGGTTAAGAGTGCTTGAGGATCAGAGTTTAGATCCCAAAACTAATGCAAATGCCGGGACGAGCCCTGTGCACACCTGTAATCCCAAGCACTGAAGGAAGTGGACACAGATCACTGGGGCTTGCTGGCTAACTCTCTAGAGCAAAAACTACTGCATATCCCACTTTTGCCTGTTAACATGCATGCACAAACCACAACCAAGTGTGATCTTTGAGAAAACAAATAACTATGGCAGTTTACAGAGAAAATGCATTTGACTGCTTGAGTATTCTGTGTGACATGTATTTCCTTTGACAGACTCACAGTGCTGCTGTACCAGTTCACAGGGACCAGAGTGCTGGCAAACAGCTGAAAGTGCATTACAAAGAGGTTTACAGGTCTCTGAAAAGCTCAACAAATGCACCTTATACTCTTATGGTATAAAGCTGCCTCGTTAGCGCCTCATACTTTGTCAGAAACTGTGTTTTGAAGCCTCTGCAAAAGTCCGATGTCCCAAAGCTGCTGCTTACCCAGCTGCAGCCAGATCATTACTCTCCTTGGAGCCATCTTCATCTGCAAAAAGGGGCGGCAGGGCAGAACTAGTCATCAAGTTTTCCATCTCCCTGAAAGTAAGAGATAATCATAAAAAAATTAATGGCTTAATTACTTCTGGTTCCATTAGTTTCAGGGCCTGCCTTTCTTAGGTTTATTACATCAGCAACAGAATGGAAACTGACCTAAACATTTGTTTTCCTGATTTGGACAGATGTGGCTAAAGGGCTTTTAACTGTGGTCTCTATCAACCATCCAGAGTAGAAACGAGGTGGGGCTATCGAAATGGCTTAGTGGATAGGTAAGAATGGCAGCTGTGCAAGCATGAGGACCAGAGTTTAATCTCGGCACTTACATGCAGAGCTGCAGTGTACTTATAATTCCAGTGTGGAGAGATGGGTCAGGCAGGAGCCTCAGGGGATTACTGGGTGGCCATGCGGGCTAAAATAAAGCAGTATGTTAGAGATCAATAGAAAAGGACACCTGATGGTTTTCTCAGCCTCTGGAGGCAGGAATGAATGTGTACATGCACATACATGTGAATACACCACACACATACATACAAGTAAATTAAAACAAGTCCAGTTTTAATAAGCAGGACATGCTTTGAAAAATCTTTATTCTCTACAGTGCTCTTTAAGAAAGTAAAACAACTTTCATTTATTGTTGTATGAACATGACATGTCTGAAAAGGGTGTGGTGTGGATGTACATGCACCCGTGATTTATATGTGGAGGTCAGAGGCCCTCCTTCCACTGTGAGGTCTGTGTAGCAGGTATTTTTCCCCACTGTGCCATCTCCCCAGCCCTTCAAAAGTATTCACTTCCTGCAGCGATCTTAGGTGGAGTGAACCAGTGGCACTGCAACCTCGAGCAGTACTTCACCAACCGCTTTAAGCTAAACTTTCCCCATCGTAGACACAAACAAAAACTGCTGACTGACAGAGCTAGTGAGGGAGCAAGCAGAGAGGACTTCATAAACAGAGTAGGGCTAAGACACTAAGTGTCTGGAGTATTACTATATACAGTATTATTGTTACAACATTGCCAGCTCTTACTCCCTCATGAATCATGCTTGGATTAAATGGTGACAAACCAAGCCCTTCAAAAAGGAAATAGTGCAAAGGAAGTAGAGGATGGAAGGCATACTGATGTGGTTCTGAGTCAAAGAAACCACACTTCCAGGTCAGAAACATGCACCACTTCACTGTCATAACCCACAACATAAATAGCATGCACCTGGGTATAGGAAACAGCTCAGCTTAATTGAAGAAAACAAATAAATCACAGGAACCTGAGGTTATCGGACTGCAAGGATAAAAGGACAAAGTGACAAAGAGAGTAATTTCATTTAGCATATCTCTACAGAGAAGGATTTTTTCCTTTCAAGGTTTACCACCAAGGGCTTCACCCCATACAGCTAAAAGCAGCAGCAGCCAATTCATCAAGAAAGTGATATTCACACAAAACATTCAATAGTGACCCCAAACAGCAGCCCCTTAAGTGGAACTGCAAAGCACTCAAGAGAGAAGGCCTCAATCGGTGGGCGAATTGAGAGGTAAACGCTGGGAGCTCACAGAGGCCCTTGGCAGTCCTCTCAGTGCCGCTGTTAAGGGGCTCTAGTGAGGGGTGGGTAAAAGCGAGCACAACAGCCACAGTGAGCCAGTGTTCATCGGGGGAATTAGGAAGAAACTGCAGCTGACACCGAACCACATTCTCAATGTTCAATGCAGTGGCTTAATTCCCAAACACTAAAACTGATGCTTTTTTTCTTGTTCTTACTTAACTTCACTTCTAAACTTATTATTTAGCAGACCAAGGTCCATAAATATCTGAATGTGACAAAAAAGCCTCTCTGTATTTATCTTACGAACTATGGCACACAGAGCATAGAAGGCAGAATAAGGCATTCATGCCACATAAGGAAGGCTTGGAACCATTTTCAGTTTCTTCAAGACAAGGTATTTACAGTGGAATGGCTCTAACAAGTACTACAGAATTCCGCTTGTTTCTAGAATTATCCCAACGCAAATGTCCTTAAGTTTGAATCCATATAAGACCAGATGGGAGCATGGGCTTTTAGGGTTACCAACACCAGTGTTAATGTTCATTTAACCTGGTTCCTTCCCCATAAAAACAGATACAAATACACAGCCTAACAGTCAGTCACCAGCTTCCAGCCTAAAAAGAACTTGGCTGAGTTATTTCTCAAGTGTCCCTAGAAGTCATTGGTCTTTCAAGAACCTCAGAATTGGGCATCTGAAGCTTTTGGCATGGCTCCCACATCTCAAAGAGGATCTATTATTTGGTAGGGAACAAATGAAGTGTTTTTTCGTTCACTATGTCAACATGGCACTCTTAAGAGTGTTCCCCAGATAGCTTTAGTTTTTAAACTGTAGGGAGACAGCTGGATAACACAACCTTAACAACATATAAACAGACCACATAAACAAAGGAAGTTCAGAGAACACCCCCTCCCCCATGCTTTCTCTTAAGTTTGTATTACTCAACCCATATGGCTTCAGATACATTTTCTCAGTGTTACTGAGCAGTCAGGCCCCTCAGAAATGAGTAATAAAGTGGGTGGAAGATAAAGGGGCCAAGATCAACAAAAGAAGGAAATGAAGAAAAGTCCAGTGAAACCCAGAGACCTCTAAAGTAGTTCAGTAAGTTGGAAAATAAAATGATTCTCAACAATATGGCTTGGATCCCATGGGAATGAGCTTTCATCTGGTCCATGAGGGGGTGATTCAAACAGAATCATGGCACTAAGCCACTGAATGCCAGAAGCCCTCAAGTGCATCATCTGACCCTGATAATGTACCAGTACAGAGGTCACAGTGAACTTTACAATCCCATGCAAGGCATTTAAGACATTTAATGAATGCTACTCTGGAAGGAGAAAGAAATGTGTACAAGGGCAAAGCAAATACACAAATTTGCTTCTTTGCTGCAGTTTACATAAATATCATGTAAGATACTTCCTGGCAGAGGGACCTAATCAACTCTTCTGGCTGTAGTCCTAAAAGAATCCTATTATTTTTAAGCTTACACTTTGAACTGAGTCTGCACCTTAGCTTTGGAAGCCCCCAGACCCCCAAAACTCCACCTCAGCCAAGAGCCAACTTAAGATATCTTAATAAACAGTCTTTATCAGCCATACTAACCAAATATTCTTTTTGTGGGAATCAAGCCATTAAGGGAACATGGTTTTTGGGTATCTGGAGAAATGGCTCAGTGGATACAGTACTTTCCCTACCAAGGGGAGGATCTATGTGGCAGCTGCTTGTAATCCCAGCACTTGGGAAGATGAGACAGGATTCCTGGGGCAAGTTGGCTAAGACAAGTTGAATCAGTGAGATCTGGGTTCAACTGACTCTGTCTCCAAAAAAAAAAAACACCAAAAAAACTCAAAAAACCCCCAAACCAAACACACACACACACACACACACACACACACACACACACACACACACA